CAGAACAATTGAGTATAAATAAAAAACATACATACATGGGGTATCTTTTGTTTCCACCTTTAATTATAAGGAATCATGCTATTGGATAGAGTTTTGTTAGGCTTTTAAAACAAAGTAACCAAACATACCAACTCATTTGACCAGAGATTTTTAAGACATCCAAATGACTAGGTCTAAATGCCGGGTATTCTACATCTAGCTACAGGATTCATCCTATCCTATCAGATTTAGTTTCATCCCAAATCTATTTACTGCATCGTATTCTCTTCATTTTTATTTCTTTTTCTTTCTTATTGCTGTTGTGTTTTACATTTTCTGTTTCTTAGTTTTGTTTTTTTTGGTACCAGCATTTGAATTCAGGTCGTTATGCCTGCTAGGCCGAAGCCCTGATGCTTAAAGCATGCCTCCAGATTTGTTTTTCTAATTATTTTTGAGATAGTAACCCACTGCTTTTATTCCTGGGGCTAGCCTGGAATGAAAATCCTCCTATTTGTACTTCTGGTAGTAGTAAATATGGTAGGTTTGAGATACATAGCAAGATAGGGGCTTGCATTTTTTATTTTTTATATTTATTTATCTGTTTTTGCCTAGGTTGTCCTAGTACTAAGATCCTCATAATCTCAGTCTCCCACATAGCTGAGATGAGTGGTAGGCTTTTTCCAATGAGTTACAAACTTGATAACTTTTTTTCCCAAGCTGGCTTTCAATTTTAATTTTCCTAATCCCTACTTCCTAAGTAGCTAGGATACTAGGAATGGATGCTACACCTGGCTTACAGACCTATGTTTTAAGGAGAAAAAAATATCATATAAATGTCTTTTTAGAACTTATCAGGAGTAGTATGGATTACTCTGTGGCTTACAGGTAAATAGGAAGCAACTCAAAGACAGGAGATAATTCAGTTTGCACTGAGAGCAGTATTCAAGCAATAGAAATTGCAGCCTGACTTCTGAGCAGCACAATGTACAGTATAGGAAACACACCAATTCAATAATATGCACTAATAACATGACACTCTATCAAACACTTAGAAAGGACATGGATGGAAAATCTGTGAGGAAATTCCTCAGTAAGGACCTGTGATTGGGACAATAATTCTTCAATGGAATACCAGGCAGAAGTCATTCTTAATCATTCCCAGCGAGTACTCAAAAGGCTCATATTCCTGTTGGCAGTGGTTATGATTATGAAAGAAATGGACCTGAGGGTAGTTATGGATTCCTGTGTATGATGTTGTCATCAAAGGAACAAGTTAAAATCACAATGTGTTATTGTAACCTCAAGGGAGCTAAGCCATCACTAGATCCTTAACATAATGGAATAGGAACTGCAGTTGATACTTGTTATATCAATTGGATTTGCTTTTCATACACATCATGCCATTGTCAGCAGTTATAGCAGGTGATTTATTGCATGTCTGATGCAGCCACTATTTCTGGCTCCTTAAATCTTTCATAGAAGGCCATGGGTTTGTGTTTGTGGAACTAAAATACAGTTAAGTATGTTTTATTAGGGGAAGCAGTTGGTAAGATAGAATATTAAAATGGCCTTTTGAAAATAAAAATCACTGAATTAGGTAAAATCCAAAAGCTGTAGGTGGTGCAATATTATCCATATCTGAATACCTGATTTTGAAGCTGTGAAGTAAAGCCTTCAGTTGCATTTAATATTCACTATGATAGTCCATTTGAGGTGTAAACATGGCAAAGCCACAGAGTGTGTAGTTATTTGATGCTGACCAAACTGTATATTTTTTCCAGCAAAGATGGTTTTAGATGAGAGTAACACTGATAGACTGAGTAAAGCCTTTCATAATGTTGCTGTACCTTATCCAATCAATAATGATGTAAGTAAATCCGAGTCTGACACTTCCATGGCTAAAAGAGAAATCCTAAAAAGAAAATGATTTGCAGATAGATAGAAAATAGATGTTAGTCAGGCAGATAGACAGATAGAGAGAGAGAGAACAAGAGAGATAGAGATAGCAGATAGCTGATAGATAAATACTAATATTTTCATGTTTGAACATTTTGTTTCCCATCTTGGTCTTCAGCTCATGTGGTTTAGAAGATTTAAAACCAAAGGGGTGGAGGACAGAGAAGAGAGAGAGAGAGAGAGAGAGAGAGAGAGAGAGAGAGAGGAGTTCTCATGAGAGACAATAAAATTGATATTGAATAGGATATTCTTGCCATTTGACAAACAAGCACTGAGAAAATAAGAATATTCTCTTATTACTCCTCATTTACCCAGGGAAACTGGTTTGCTACTGAACAACAGGAAGGGAGAATGTCCTTATGGAATCTCTACTCTCATCTTTGGTCTAGCCATTATGGCCTAAGTTACACAGAGAGCGAGCTTAAAATTTGAGTGGCCAAACACCTTAGCAGATTTCAAATCACTCTTTTCTTAAAGATTAGGGTAACCAGGCACTCTTTACTCTCTGATCCAATATAATAAAAGAGTCAATATCTAAAATACAGCAGGCCATTATGCTAAAGGAAAAGAAAATATGGAAAATCCTGCCCATAATTTAACATGAGAGAAAGCTATACATGCCAAATCTGTGGAACAATAAGAATGTGAAACAAAAACATTTGGAGTCAATTCCTCTCAATAGTCCTTGAGGCTACTTTTTTAATCATAGTTTGTTTGCATAAAAATGTCCAGATTCCTATCGTTCCAGAGATATCATTTTTATTCTCTAACAATGCAATGAGCAACCTCATGATTTTCTAAATTTTATTTGGATAATAAACCAGAGTATATTTCTTTTGGTTATTTAAAAGTATTCTAAATATTATATTGAACTCTATAATTTATTAGAAATGTACAAACAAAAGTAAGAATATTTTTTTCAACTATCAAATTTATAGAAAACTAGAAATTGCCAAGATATTAATAAGAGAATTCAGAATTATATACATTATCTGGGATCACAGTTTAATAGACAATTTCTTATGACAGGTAGAGACACTGATATAACTTTGATATAACTTAACACTTTTGCCTATAGTAGTTTATTCTATGAAAATGTTTGCATATTTTCCAAAAATACATAAACAAATTTAGCATATTTAGCAATATATGAGAAACAAAAACCTCTTAAATATTTGCCAATGAGAGAATAATGAAAAATCTTATGGATATCATGAAGATTTTAGGATTAATAAAGCTGAAAATATCTGATAAAGTGAAAAAAATGCTCATATGTTTTAAATAGTTTCAGAAAATGCAAAAATATATATCACAAATTATATAAAACTATATTCAACATACTTGATTATGCAAGGTAAATAGGCATACAAACAGATATTAGCTTATATATGCATATTAGTTTTTTTGAGAAGTTACCTAATCACAATCTTTATCCCTGAGAAGTGGTAGTTTTCAATGTGGAGTTGATAACTTACTTTCTCAATAATATTTCCTTCACTGTGTGATTTACAATTATTTTATATACAGATAAAGCTTTCATTTTTATACATTAAAATGGAGGATAAATTGGGTGCCTAAATTGAGAGAGAAAAATCAAACAAATACCTGCACTGCATATTTAGTTTAGTGGCCATAAAAAAAGAAATGAGAAATCAGTGCTAAAATTAATGTTAAAGTGTGTCTACATAGATCAACAAAGTAGCCATAGTGTCATTATTCATCAATTAATGTTACTATAAATACTACTGATAATGCGCATTTATTGAGAACATACTAAACACCTGTTATAAACTACAACGTTATCATCCTATTTAATTTCACAACTACTGTGTGAGATAGAATAATTCCTCATGTTACACCCAAGACAAGGAACAGAGGTTAAATCATGAAGCTAATAATAGACACAATCAGTAAACACTGGGTTCAACTAAGAAATATAAGGAAATTCTGGATTAACTGAGTTTGTGGCCATCTTCAGCACTACTAGAATAGCGAGCTACTTCTCTGACTTAACTTGGCTTTCCTACACTGGGACTTCCAGCCTCTGGCTCTCATACCTGCAGTCTGATCAGCATCATCTCCTGTGGAGTGTGGAATTGGGCAAAGAGGACAGTCTGAGCTAGTTTCTGTGGGGCCTGAAGAAGGACATTCCACAGGTCACTGCTCACCACTGGAAACCTGCCCAGCTCAGTGGGCTGTACCACAAGTGAACAGAAGGAAAATTTGAATTCACTTAGGGAAATTATGCTAATTAGTTGTCTTTATTAACAGGTAACTTATATGTGCATATTAGATTTTTTTGAGAAGGTACCTAATCTCAATGTTAATATAATGGTAAACATAAGACATAATGGCAATGATTTTTTTTTTGAGCTGTAGAATGAAATTTCTGTATTTGGTTTCTACATACTGAGAATGACTGGAAAGACACACTTTAAATCATATTGTTTATTTGTGTGTTTGTTTTTTTCCTTTTTCTTTTTGTATCAGAACACGTGTTCAGGTTACACAGCTCCTCTCTTTTCTGTGTGGCTGAATGCTTACTTTCATGTTGATAGAAAGAACACTAGAGGAAATAGATGACATTATTAATTTAACTAGGTCCAATTAATGGTCATTTATTTTAGTGTGTAATTATGGAATCAAAAATGTTACATTTTCATTGAAAATAGTTTCTAGAGAGCATACATTCTCCAAAAGTTTTCCTGGACTTTTGTTGGCTCTCTTTATTTGACAGCAGATCTTTCACACTTAACAAATAAAATTAAAAAAAGAGTATTTCTTCAAAGATAGCTTAGGAGAATAAGCACTTGCCTAATGTATTTGTATGTGTGTTAGTGTTATTAATTATAATGATTATATTATTTCACAATATTTACAAGTTGGCAGGGTTACTTGAAATGACTTGTTAGCTATTTTGGAATGCACTATATTTTCTTTTTTTTGTAGTTGACATTCGACATATTTAGGTAGTGATCTGGCTGCTTATATTCCAACGACAGATTTGTAGATCTGTCAGTTTACTTAGTTACTATTATATAGTTGATAGTAATGATTCTACTTACCCTGGCATTGGTCCATTTCCAGAAAGACTGTAGACCTGACGAGGATTTAGTAGATACTGGAATTTTCTGTAAATACTATAAAGGCAAAAATACGGAGGAAAAGAGGGTGTTTAGTGACAACCAATAATAATGATTAATTAAGTAACATTCCTTAGTGTTATAAACATACATGGTTATAATGAAAGATGCTTGGTAAAATTTGTTTTAATTATACAAGAAATATAACAGCCCCATATTAAGTAAATATATATGGCTATAATGAAAGACATTTGGTAAAATTTGCTTTAATAATACAAGAAATATAATAGCTATATTAAGTAACAATACTCAGAAAGGACTTGCCATTCTAAAGGCAATGTAGTTAAAAGTTCCAAATAATGCTTTCATTCTAAATATGCAAATGCCTTTAGAATTTGCTATGAATCTCTTTCAAACATTATTTTGTTAACTGAACAGATTTTACATGAACATTTTTATATTTCAATATAAAAATTTTCAATGTCTTCTCTTGACAATCGTGAATATATTCTTCTTTCCACATATATTCAATATAGTCATTGGAACAAACTAAGGGAGATAACAATTATCTATCTATGCACAAAGTGGAATTGCACAATTTGCATCCATATTATGTACCTATATATATGAAGAATGTAGCCTCACCTTACCTAATCATGTCACATAAACCATGATTGTCATCCATAATTTCGTAAAAATTCTAAACTGTGAGCATTCAAATATTAAAGATTTTTTTCTGAAATAACTATACCTTTACATAACAAATGAGACAGGAATAGTTGCAAGCACACAGACATTCTTATGGTTGTAATTCTCAGAAAGAAATATTAAAGTGAAAGGATGCCCTTTTTTTAGGATTCAGTGTGAGTATCCATCTAGACAGATTAGTATATGTATTTTAAACATTGATATGATGTTTACTCACAGAAGCTCTAAACTCATAACATTACCTGACCCTAAATACACATTCTAGGTCTTGACTTATTACATGACCTATTATCTCAAGGAAAAATTTAAAGAACATCATTCTCAATAGCTCTTTTCCTGGTAAGTGAACCCCTTTCGGGGACAATCCCATTCTCCTGTGGGAGAAATGCCTGTCAGTGATGGTATTCCTACTCACTCCATGAGTTCAGGCACCAGTTCCTCTCACCAACAAACAGTACATGATTCTTCTCTTGATTTTTTGAGACAATGTGTCATTATGGAAACCAGACTGGCCTAGAACTCTCATTCCTCTTGCCTCTACCGTTCAGATTCTAAGATTTGTTTTCCTGGATGTGTCACTATAGCTGGCAGCTCTATCAAATTCTTAGCAATCCAGGTCCATCCTTCACTGATGTGTAAGTGTAGTCATGGTGGAACGGTTACAGGCAAGACATTCACATCAAGGAATTCAGTCATCCTTCTGAGATGGACATAGGTAATCTTTGTCTCTCCTGCTAGACTTTAACCTGGGGGAAAACCTTCTGAATTAACGCTATGGCCATGAATCTGTCTTTCTCCTTCATCTGGTGAACATCTCCCAATGTAACAACCAATAAGCCAGGTAGTTCTTCTTTAAAGACTCCTCTCAGTTCATAGGTGTTTTTCCTCCCCAACTTCTATAAGCACTTTTAACATTTTTACTTTAGCATATGGTATCATAATGAATCTGTGACTGCCTTACCCCCATACCCTTGTGCCTTATATGTATTACCACAGTACCCAGCACACTTTAGGTTGGCCTAACGGGGTAATTTCTGAATGGATATGTGAACATTTCCACACATTTGTCTATTATGGAAAACTGGTGGGAATATACAATTCTGTTGCTTTGTGCAATGCATTTGGTATATCTAAGACAATAAGTCCAAAAATTTTAAAAAGAAAACAGCATATGAAATCTTATTGTTAAAGGTGCCTCCTGTGGAGGAAAGTTTATACTTACATTCCTACTACAACTCTTTTAAAATATATTTACATTTCCTTTGGCTTTGAATGATTTCAGTCTGTGTAGAGGATGAAACACAAGTTACTCAGAAACCAGAAGCCCTCAAATTAGCTACTCTCTGCCTATTAAATTTAATTTCCTTATGACTTCAGTGTCTTTCTATCTGATTTTTTTAAGTTAGAGAAAATATATACTAGAATAATGGGAAGGAAGATATTCAGTTATTTTACATGATTTATGCTATCATAATTGAGAGCAATGCATTTTCCTTTGAAATTTCACTTTTAATTTTGATTCCATTAAAACTCCATTTGTCATTGGTGTCCACGGCAATTTTAACTCTTGCCTAAATCACTGTGAAAAGTTTACTTTTTGTAAAAAGAAAGATACATGTACTTTTGGGTTTTTTTCCTCTGTGCTTTTGGGAGTCTTGTCTAGAAAATTGTTGTTTATTCCAATGTCCCATTTCTTTCTCTGTTTTCTCTTCAACTTATTTGTAGTTTTAAAGTTTTTGACACTTAAGTTTTTAATTTGTTTTCAGTTTTTTTATAACTGGATGATAAATATAGTTTTATTATTTTGCATATGCATCAGTGTTTCCACCATCATGTATTTACAATACTGCTCTTTTTTTTAATGCATGCTGTTAGTAGCTCTGTTGAAAATTATTTGGCTGTAAAGTGAGAGTATATTCCTAAACTCTTTTCTGTTCCATTAATCTACATGTATGCCTATATCTAATTCTAGTTCCATGAGTGTCTTTTTGTTTAGAGGTCCTTTTCAGTTTCTTTTCATAGATATTTCTTAATTTTTACTGTAGAGATCAGTGGGTTTAATTTGTCTCTAGTTTTTTTTAGTAGCTATTATAAATGTGATTACTTTTCTGACAGCTCTGCATAGGATTTTCTGTAGTGTGTTGAATTAAAGTAGTGAAAATGGGCATGCTTGACTTCTTCCAGATCTTAGAAAGTCTTTAGCTTTAACCCACATTGTAGGATGTTCACTATGGAATTCATATAATTATAAAAGAGTGTGTAAAAAGCTGTGTAGGTATGATCCTTCTATATCTAATTTGTGATGAGGCAATGGCGAATTTAGTCAAATGCTTTTTCTGTATCTATTGAATGATTTTATTAGCAAAAGAGATTACATCAAACTAAATAGCTTCACCACAGAAGAACCAGACAAAGAATAGATATCTATGGAATAGGAGAAATATTTACAAACTAATCATGAAAGCATTTTAATTTTTTTCTTTGCTAAATCACTAAGGAATTTTGTTTTACATGCAATGTTTTTGTGTGAGTGCTTTGATCTGTTGGATTATTTTTGGTTGGAATTAGGGAAATACATCTACATAGCAGTGAGGCAGGTCCAGCTGCCTTTTTGTTAAACTTTCTTCTTTAGTAAGACAGAAAATTTATTCTTCAATGTGGTGACTTCCTGATTGTGTTAAAAATTATTAAATCCTTGGAAGTGGCGCTATAGCTCAAGTGGTAGAGCGCTCGCCTTGAGCTGAAGAGCTGAGGGACAGTGCCCAGGCCCAGAGTTCAAGCCCCACGACTGACCAAAAAAAAAATTATTAAATCTTTAATCTATTATAATAACAAAATTTTGTGTTCCTGAGTTAGATGGTAATTCAACTCATTATTATTCAAATAAAAGGTACAGAACTTCACTAGGAAATATGGCATGATGCACCCTAAAACACATACACAGAAAATCGCTATAGTATAGTCATCTTGTTGACCATTTAGACACCTAAGTTTCATTTTATAGTATCTACGAAGCCAGGTTTATTCAAATATCTTCATTATTACTAGGGGTGAGAGGTGTGGTAGAAAAAATACAAAATCCTTATATTTTCAACTACAAGAAAAAAGATACCAGTATATTATATACAGGTTCTAGCATCATATGAAAATGACCAAAAGTGAGTAGCATTTTAGATAATTTTACTTCACAAATTTAATTTTTATTTTATAATTATAATATAAAAATAGATATTTAAAACCATACCGTTCTCCTTGCTTTCCACCACTTTTGGGGTTCACAAAGACTAAAAGTGGGTGAGTACCAGGAATAGGAGTGATCTAGAAAAAAGAAAAGTTGGATATATAGACAAATTACTAGGCATATGGTATATGAATAAGAGTTTTTGTTATTTTCACATCATAAAGCACCAGTTTTTGGCTTCAGAAATTTCACCAATAGGGTCATCACTTGTACACAAAGAGGAGATTTGGATGAGATTTGTAATGGTAAGGAGGTGAAAACGGAAGTGACAATGGTAGGTAGGTTAGACAGAATAAAACAATGTGGAGGAGAATGCAGAGGAGAGGAAGTGAAGGACAATATGAAGTTACACAAAAGCTTTTGTTTATAAAGATTATTCTTAAAGTAGAACATTGTGGCCTACTTTGTGAACTAGACACAAAAATAATGTGTGAGACTTGTCTCAACCTAAAAGTCTTTCTCTGCAGACTATCTTTGATACTTTCTTAGAGTGCTAAGTTTTCAGGTTAATTTTCTAAACAATAATTTGTTAAGTATTGCTTTTTCCTCACTAGAAAAGAATTGAATGCTCTCTATTCACATAGCATTTTCCATGGACCTCCATTAACTTTCATTGCCATAAAAGGAAAGAAAACAGGAAGTGTGGCAATATATCACATATTTTAGCAAGAATGGCAAATAATTCTTATATTTTACCTATTTCGAAATGAAGGTATGGCAGATTATTTGAAAGAGATATATATATATATCATTTAAGTTAAACATACACAAGCACATATCCCCACATGCATCCCAGATAAATAGTACCTGACATAAGTATTAAAAAATACTTTACTATAAAAATTTTATGCTGCTGCTGACACTCTCTACATTTTAAGGTAAACAGTTTTAGATACATTTGCTCTTTAAAATAGATTGCCAGTATCCATAATACATTGACATTTTCCCCCTAGAAAGTGTTATACAATTACTAAATTGGATAATAGAAAACAATTTCACCACATGTGACCTTCCTTCTTGTCCATTTAAATAATAAGATAATATATTCTACTAAGGAAATGTCCTCAAAATCTTAAGTTAAGTGACATGTTTTTAATGAGGACAACAGTTCAAAAATGTTAAAAAAAATCACATTAAATAAACAAGAAGGTGGAATATGATATAGTTTACTTTTCTACTGTTTTCATTTGCCTCTCATTGCAATGTATCATTGTCTATGTTTTAGTTTCTTTGGTAAAAGGCAAAGAGTTATTCTTCCTAAATTTGCCTTTGTATCAGGAATAAGAAGTGTAAGATGGAGAACACTCAGCAGAAACATCCTATCTCCCCGCTGAACCAAATGCATCCAACAATTAATGCATATCAGTTATCTATTACCCTGCCATCATTGTGTTATGTGAGTAAGGCATGATCTCTTCACCCACTGAAAAATCAAATGCGTTGTCATCAAAAATATCTGTAAATAAAGATTACTACTCACCAATTTCCCTGGTTACTCTTCCTATTGTAAAATTGGAACTCCTTAATATATCATATGCAAAAAGCAATACTGATATGTATAATCTATGTGATAGTTTATATTAATGTGAACTGTCATTCTTTGTTTATAAATTGGTGTGTGAATATCTAGGCAAATGGTTTCTGATCAAAGTATTAAATCTGTGCCTAAATTCTCATGATTATATTTGTTTCTCATTTTTCCATTTTTCCTCAAAGTCACTATACCTCACTGTATGAGATAACATACAGAGTCACCCAGGGTTTGATATTTGGGTTTCTTTTGAAAATATTTTTCAAAATATATTTCAGGGATATTTATGTATCAGATAAAGATATCATCACTATACCAATAGTACTCTAAACTCTGTATTATTAGGAACAAATAAACATGTCACTAAAATATATTGTAGTCTGTGAGGTATCACAAAATAATATAGAGTCTAATTAGTTGGAGGGATAAATCAAATGAGCCACAAAATTAGCAGGGGCCTTAAAGAACTTGGAAAAATAATATCACAAGTAATGAAGCCAGTTCCTTAAGATGGAGAATGAAGAATAATACAAGTCATTTAGCAACATCTCTTTACATAGCCTATTATCACAAATCAGGTATATAAAGTTAGACAATATGAAAATATTATTAGGTATGACAGATTTGTGCCCATGGGCACTTGATCTAATGTAAACCATGTAATATGTAATAAAATTGACATTTAAGAGGTGATAAGTGATTAAGTAAAGAGATTTAAACAAGGAGACTTGGGGAGGGGCTTCAAAGCATACATAGTAGTGTTAAGATTACAGATATCAGAATTCAGGCAAATCTGTCATGGTCTCCTATGCTTGCTCAAGAAGTTTTAAAATCATACTAACCTTTGCTACTATAAAAAGAAGGCCCAACTCATGGAATAAATCTGGGTGCCAACCAGATTCAGAATTCTCATTTTGAAAGCCAAAGACCTGCGGTAATACATAGTCATTTGCAAGTCTGACAAGTTAAAAATAAACAACTACTGAGTTCAGTAGTAGTCTGAAACATGCAGCAATATCTTAGTGTCAGAATTTGCTATTGGATCTCAACTGTCACATTCTCCTTTTCTGCAAGTAAAGAAACTCTAGGTATAGAGTAATATAGAAAGCTTATTTCCTCCGTCCTATCAAATCTGTATTTTGGAACCTGCTTGCTGTTCCTCATAGGTCTTTTGATGAACTTTAAGAAGGCACAGAATCAGAGGGAAAAGGGTCAAACAGTGCATTAGTGGAGTGCGCTGGACATTGCTGAAAGTGAACTATACAATTCATGGGTGGAGATGGGAGGGAGGGAATGGGAGAGAAGGAGGGAACAGATGACACTGTACCAGAAGAAATGTACTTATTACCTGACACAAGTATATCATCTGTATATCTCTATAGTAACACCAAAGTAAATGAATAATTAAAAAATAAAAAAAAACTTGTAACTTTGGTGTCTTGTTGGGCAAGAGCATAAATGAATACAAATAAAAATCTTTAAAATGTATCTATGTTTAATGTGGGAGATATATTGGAAGCTCTTCTCTCCCTCTCATTCTTTCCCTGTCTCTTTCTGTCTCTGTCTTTCTCTGTGTCTCTCTCTCTTCTCTCTCCTCCACAGAGAGAGAGAAAAATGGTCATCTATACATATAGTTAAATGGTAGGTACTTTACAAGCTAAAAGAAGAAACCTTAGAATAAATCACCAAAAAGGTGCCTTGATCTTGGACTCTACTGTTTCTAGAACTGAGAAATAAATGCCTCTTTTTTAAACCACCTACTTTATAGGATAACTTTATTCGAGTCCAAGTACTCAAATGTGGATATGTTGTAGGACAGCTCATCATATACCTTTATATGGCATAAACAAAGCTTCTTCTGTTCTTCCTGATACCAGCAAGGGCTCTGGAGATTATAAGGAGTAGTAGCCCATTTAAATGAGTACCATTGAAGATGCCCAAGGTTGGGGGTACCAGTCCTCATAAAAACTTGGAATTGTCTTGGACTCTGAGACCTTATCCGGACTTCATTTACATGACACAAAACTTAATGGCTATTTTATTAAGGCATTGTTATATTTACACAACCTAAATGAAAGTGGTTTGAATGAAACAAAGTTCCACAGGCTCAGACTTGGATAATAGTGGGATCAGCTATAGAGATATACATTATTCTTCATCAAGCATATTAATATGTCTATTGTTTGGGGGAAAATAATAAACATATTAAATCCTTTGAATAGTCTTAATATCTTTATTTTACATTATGGTATTGTAATTATTTAATGGGAATACTCATTTTCCCAGTCAATCTTTTTGTAACTTTAATAGTGTACAATAAAGGAAAACATTTCAGCTATATACTCTTTGATTCCAGACCATAGTTTCCGGAGGTCAATCAGGTAAAACTTCCTTTCCTGTATTGTGCTTCAATACCTATTGATCAGAGGAAAATAAGCAACTATTTTCTTAGTTTCTGATACTAATATAATGAAGATTTTGGTGAATAAAATTTTATGAAAATACCTCATTTGTGTTTTTAAATTTTTTTCATTGATATTTTATTTTTTGAAAGAATTTCAACTTCACAGAGCAAGTGCAAGCACTATACAAAGAACTTTTCCCTTGAACCACCTGAAAGAAAGTTACCAAAATTAAAATTTATCAGTTCCATTTATTTTAGCACTGTCTTCCCATAGGAAAGCTCACACATACTCAATATTGTCTTCAGACTCAATTAATATGTTTCTGGTCTAATTCTTGTGCTTACTATACATTGTTGGGACAATGTAAAACACGTGGAATGGGGGAAGTAAGCCAGGTAAGAGTGTTGTATTCTTTCTAGTATTGCATGTAACATATCCTTTAGCATGGTAAATTTATAATTTTATTCTTATATGAAAATTTTGAATCATACTATAAAACTCACTTATTCTGAAAATGGATGAACTGTCAACCTAAAATACTATACCTTCTTGTGTTATAGTCTTTTATGAAATGGTAAGCAAAAGAAGAAAAAGAAATACATAGAATATTCTGTCAGCCTAAAACTTGATCTTTCTTAGAACTACATATTCTTTTGGAATTTCAGACAATCTGAAAATGGAACAACAAAGTATATCAGATGAAATCTAATATGATCTCCTGGAAGTAAGGAACAACCCTGAGCTAATTCTCAATCCACCATCACTTCACCTCTGTGTTTGAAGCATTTTATACAATTTGTGCCTTCTCAAGATAGATTTTTTGTTTTGTTTTTGGGTCCAGTCATGGGACCTGAACTCTGGGCCTGGGCGCTGCCCCTCAGCTCTTCAGCTCAAGGCTAGTGCTCTACCACTTGAGCCACAGCACCACTTCCGGCTTTTTTCTTTTTGCTTATGTGGTGCTGAGGAATCGAACCCAGGACCTCAGGCATGCAAGGCAAGTGCTCTACCACCGAGCCACCTTCCCAGCCCAAGATAGATTTTTTAAAAGTATTAAACTAGAATGGGTGCTGGTGTTTTTCACATGTAATCTTAGCTAGTCTGGAGGCTGAGATCTGAAGATCATGGTTCAAAGCTAGTCCAAGAAGGAAAGTCTGTGAGACTGTTATCTCTAAAATAACAAACAAAAAACCAGAAGTGGACCTGTAGCTTTAGTGGTAGAACACTAACCTTGAGCAAAAAAAAGCTCAGAGACAGCATCTAGCACCCGAGTTCAAGCACCAGGATGACACAAACACACATAAAAGGTACTGGGCACTGGCTGTTCATATCTGTAATTACAGCTACTCAGATGCTGAGATCTAATGACTGACGTGAGCAGAAAAGTTCATGCAAATCTTATGTTCAGTCAACCAGCTTTGAGTCAAATAGCTAAGGGACAATGTCTGGGCCCTGAGTTCAAGCCCCAGAACTGGCACACACACACACACACACACACACACACACACAAATCAACAACAACAACAAAACCTATTGAAATAGGGTAAACCAGTATAACAAAGACTATTATATGGATGAAGGGAAGAACAGTTCAAAGAATATTTTGTAGTACTTGTAGTACTTTATTTTTAAAAATTCTATTGTACAAGTTCTGTGCAAAGGGGTGACAGTAACATGTCAGGTGATGAGTACATTTCCTTTTGAACTATGTCAGCCCCTCCCTCACTTTCTTCCAGTTTGTCCCCTCCCTACATTCCTCCCCCAAAACTTCTATAGTTCATTACAACATAGTATCTAGTGGGTTCCACTGCTGAATTGGTTCACCCTTTGTCCTGTTGTACTTTGAATCTTGAAGAAATACCATAAATTGGGTTTAAAGTACTTTCCAGAAAGAGAGAAGCCATAACAGATTCTCTTCTTTGCTGAGTATAACTGGACTTGTGAAGTTTTATTTATTCATACAGTAGTATAGTTTAATATAGTGAATTTAAAGAGTGTGACATTAGTGAGATACTAAATGTGGATTCGATTTCAATTACTGCACTATATATGTATTGTATACATATGCATGTGTATATATACATGCATGCATATATATGTATATATGCATACATAAATGTGTGTATACATATACTTAAATGTGCATATGTGCACATATATATCCAATTCAATAACACAGTTATATACATGTACCATAGGTTTACATATATTATAAATATGAGTTTATATATAGTGTGTATAAATGCATCTACGTATATATGTATGTATATACAACTTATGTTATTGAAATTTTCTGACATTTTAAAGTATCATCAACATGTCTATTACTGCCAAATTTTATCTGTTGTTCTCCCTAAGTTAGATCCACATGTTGATCATCCTAGTTTGTAGCTTTCTCTGGATTCCTAACATCAGAAAAAAAAATTCAAACCGTATTCACCTAAACTTCACCATCTCAGTCAATGGGTCAGCCGCCTTGGTGATGTCCTTTAATTTTACACAACTGTAATGCATTGGCAATGTGTTGTCATATCTTCTGGTTCTGTCCTTAAACACTGCTCCACTCTACTTTCCTTGCATTACAAAAGGCTTCTATCATACAAGCTTAAGGTAATTGTTGTAGTTTTCCCCTGACATTTCCTTATCCAACAATCTAGTATTAATAAGAGTATATCTTTTAAAATATAATTCAACTCATCATTTCTCTGTGTAACCTTCTCCTCTTCTTGCCATCTTATGCACAACAAAAGCTAAAGTTACTTTCAATCTCTCTAGTTTCATAGTATCTACCTCCTGTTACATCTCTACATTTTGTTCTACTTATTCTGATTTGTCAATCTATTGCATTCATGTACCTCTTGTCCATTCTAGACCTTGCACATACATTTTTGAGTTATCCATCCTGACTTAGCCATGTGGGCAACTGCTTCCTTCATTCTACTGATTAATTCAGGTATCTCTTGAATATTTTACTTCATTACAGAAGACTCCACATCTCAGCTCAGACATATAGCTTACATAGTTCTTTTATGTAGCATCATTTATGATCTAACATTACAGAGCTTAACTCTGAATTTAGGGAGAGAAAGATGATGATGATGATGTTTGGCTCTGAAAGAGTCAACAGGACTGAGAGTACTGAGTGAACAAGGTATACACACATTGACACACACCAGTTAACAAAGGAAATGAGTTCACAAACATACTGTGCAGTTATGCATAGTGCATGTATGTTTGGTTTATCCTGTTGGTGTTTACAAACATAAGAAAATAAGAAATAGCAATAGGGAAAAGCAATTTTAGGACAGGAGGCAATGATACAGTTTTAAATACCACATGTAAAGAACTTGAATTAACCATATTGCAAATTAGATTCCCCAGTTATCCAATGATAATTTTATCTGGAAACATAGAAGAATATTTAAACAACTAATTTAATATAATACAGTTTATGTAAAAGTTTTGTATTTCCCTTTATTTGTCCACATATAAAAAACGATCTGTTGTATGTTAAAGTTGTATGTTAAAGAATTGTAGTTTCAATTACATTTGGTTATATATATTAAAATGTGTATACCTCTGGTGTGAGTGCTGACAAAGACAGAGTACCTAACTACTGCTATTTGAAATCCCCTAGGACTTGGGTTAATTAATGAGACTCATCCTAAGGTTATACATGATCTATTACTTCCTCTAATTAGAAATAATAATCCTGATCATTATACTGGTTAGCTGGAAAGAAGCAAGATGAATGTGCTTAACTATGATTAATAGTCTTCTTTAAACAGTGTAGATCTTCTGTCACAGAGTTAGATGCAAACTGGACTGCAATCTATTGTTTTCCATTATCTAGATTTTTAAACTTCATATGAAATTTAATATTTGATAGATTTTTTTGCCTTATTTGATTAAAAAACATGTATTTTACCATTTTACAATTGATAACTACAATGCAATTTGTTTTCTATTTTGCATGAAATAGCTATCCAAACTTTTATTCCTTTTCTCTATCTAGGGACATCTATTCTGAGATGAATCTGAATTTTGCACATGATAACATACCATCTTATAAAAACTCAAAAAGTTACATTGGTAATTACAGTTTTATTTATTTGCTGTTCTTTTGCTATTCCTGTTGTCTACATTTTGCCTACTGACAATCTTATCTGACATTTTCCTTCAGCAAAAAAGTTACAAAAATTGTTGTCTATAGAGATCCATACATTCAGAAATATTGTTAATTATCTATGGCTTTAAATCTGCATAATTGATAAATAACAAGGTGAATTATTTCAGATTTCTTTTGTGTATAAATGAAAATCAAATATATAGTTCAATGTGAGTTTCAAGTTATAAAAGTACTCTGAATGTATTAAAATAAAAATAGTTTTGAACTCTGAAAAAAATAAATATTATGTAAACCTTAACTAAGATTATAAAAGTTATAGTCTCTTGAACTAATAAATATATAATTTTAGCTCAAATTATATTAAAAAGGATGATCAAATTTCTGAATTTAAGAGACTTTTTACCACAGGAATAAAATACATACCACCTAAATAAGAAGGGCCTCATTCAATCATTGACTTTCCTACTGACTGCTGGTATGGGGTGGAGGAGTTCATTTACTTTTGAGTATCAAAATGGTTATGTTGGAAATGTGGATAATAAGTCATTGAATTCCATGTTTACTGGGTTGGTGAAATATGTGTAAAATAATACCACACTACTTGGGTTGTACTAAGCATTAACAAATGAAAATTTCCTCCTTTCCATAGTGAGAAATATATACTTTCACACTCGTAGATACATGTGGATTTCAAAATTAGTCTTTCCTTATCTGGTTTCTAGAAACCAAAATCATTAGCCATTTAAACCGTTCAATGTTAAGTTGCTGTTTAAATTCAAATGTTAATTTATTTTCACTAAAATTTTTTTAAAAGAGCACTTAGTAACATAATTTTTACTATCAGATTTCATTATTTAAAATCTTCAATGAGATTACTAAATATATAAATATGACTTCCAAAAATTATAGCCTGTTATAGTCTTTCATAATTAAATTATATACATTTAAAATATTCTTATATTTCAGAATTATCTTTCACAGTTGAGGTAAATAACTCATTAAGATTTCTTATTTGCAATGTTTTTGGTTAGGTTAAAATAAATTTTTTTACTATGTGTATCTAATTCTTCATTAAAATTTTGATGAAATATTCAAGACAATGAAAAAGCATTCATAGACATAAACTGTGTGTACTTGTGTTTTCAGATTAAGAAATACAAAGGACAAAATCCATGGTATCACAGGTAAAAGAAACATATTGAAACATATTCCTATATTGAAACATGCTCTTCATGGAAAAAATTTTCAATTTGAATAAAAGTACAGTTAGAATAATAAAGTCAGTGCACAAATCCAAATATTAAGCCAATTTTGTTGACTTTTTCATAGTAAATTAGAAATATAGGCAAATAAGTACAAAACATTCAATGTATAAAACAGCCCAAAGTGAAAATGGAAAGATGGTATTTTAATAACAGAGATAACAGCAATAATTACAGGATTTTAAAGAGTAAAAAAAAAGATTTCAGTGATTTTTGTGTACCTAGAAATATGTACGGTTTCAAATACTATTTAAAACTTTGAAAGATATAAATTCTAATAAATACTTCATTATCATTATTTATCTACCCAACTAGAGTTCATTTCTATTTTTCTTTACAGTCAAAGCAATTCTTCAAAAGAAGGAAAAAAAGAAAGAAAGAGTATTTATGGAGAGACTAATGTATGAATAACTAACATATAGGTATGTAATATGTATGTATATTTAGGAATGATTTGCAAAAACTTTCAGATTGACAAATAATATTTTTTGCCAATTTGAGTCTAAATAGATTTAGCACCATAAATAATTAATCTAACCAAAATGTCACTCTGTCAATCAACTGTGAGACAGACATCTTGATAAATTAATAATGATCTTTCTGAAACGGTCTAAGGAGCTAATATAAACGTTAAATAAATGTGTTAATAACTGAACATATGCCTTTCTCAGATTATAAAAGTAACACAAAGGAAAACTACTAAAATGTAGATTTAAGTAGTAATTTTACCTGAAGGCCTTGTCCATCCACTGTGACAGAGTTGGCTCTCTGCATTTTGTTCTTATCAGTCACTTTGTTTGGCTGCTGAGAGCTACCCTTTTCCTTTTTCACTGTTGATTGTCTTTCCTGAAAGAAAAAGAATGTTTGTAAAAAAAATTTAAGCTAAAACAATGAGATGTTTAAAAGAAGAGACCAATAAATTTTGTTTTCTTTTAATTTTGTTAATTTTCATCTATAAATAGTTGTGCAAAGGGGTTTTGATTCAATATTAGTTTATGAATACCAAAAAAAAATCTTCAACAATGCCACCATTTCCATCAATCTCATTCTCCCAGCCCCACCCATCCCCTCAATTTTCTAGTTTCTTAGGCACATATATTCATTGAATATTAGGACTGTACTCATAGTTCTAAACTTGTCTCGGATTCTTAATATATAATTTTTACTGAACAAGAAAAATGATATTCCTTTCAACTGGCTCAATAAATATATGATAGTTGCATGATTAAAATATCATAATGATAAAATCCTGTCTTCATGGAGAGTCTTACTACTTTTCCTTCACAAATTTTCTTTCACTTTCAAATAAACTTATTTTTAAAAAAATGGTTCAACATGAAAAAAGCGAAACTGCAATTATCCCCATCTACCCCAATCACTGTTAATTAAGAGTTTAAATAAAGTACACTTGGTTAATTTTATATACAACAGGCAAGGTGGATAGTATGGGATTTGGATTTTAAAAATGTTTTACTGATTACTCAAAATAATATTCATTAATATATGCAATGTTGGAGGTGAATTTTAATGGCATGGTGGATTTTGAAGCTGTTATTTTCAATGAGAAGGGCATGTAGTATATCAATCACACTCAGTCCAACTAATTCTTTGTTCTTCATACTGACAAAAAAAATCCACATGTATTAAGAATTGCCTTTATTTTTATAATTAAGTAGTTCTAAAAATTGCCATATAACCAAGCAATTTATAAATAAGGCACATTTTAATCACATTTTAATCCTTCAACATTCCCACACCTCTTTGACCAAGCCCTTTCTTTACTGTTCTTAATTTGTGAATTCTTGACTGCTTTTAACCCTCCCCAACCCCCTTCATTAATTCTATTCCTCTCTCTCTTGGCCCAACCCACCTGAGTTTGTTGGGCTTAACTTTAAAAGATTATATTATTTGAGATCTCCATAGAGTCTAATATAACTCAGTGAATTCATTTGTAACCACTTTTCTCTATTTCTTCTCGTCCTCTTCAACTTACTTTAATCACCAGGTTCAATCATCTTTTTGTAAAATTTACTTATTTTTATTGTAAAGGTGATATACAGAGGGATTACATAAGTCAGATAAAGAGTGCATTTCTTTTTTTTTCTTTTTTTATTGTGAACATACTGTACAGAAGAGTTACAATTACATGGACAAGATAATGAGTACATTTCTTATCAAGCATTGTTGCCTCCTCCTTTGTTTCCCCTTCCCATCCCTTCCCATCTCCCCCTCTCCCCAAGAGTACATTTCTTTTTGAACAATGTTACCACTTCCCTCACTCCTTCCCAGTTTTTCCCTCCTGTCCCCACCCACAAGTTGTATAATTCATTTTCAGCATAGTGTCTAGTCAATATCACTGCTGAATTTGTTTACCCTGTGTACCACCATTTCTGTGCCCCCCCATTATCCTACCAATGACAGATAAATGAACAAACAAGGCAAAAAGAAATGCAAACCAACATAGTAACAAAGAAAGAGAGAGAAAAAAAACTCTTGCTTCCATTTCCTGGAGTTCATTTTGATAAATATTATTTTACATGGTCAGATGCACATAACTATTGTGCCTATGTCATCCTCTCCTAAGAATATTCTCCATTGGTCTCACTCTGTGTGAATACCTCGAAACCTGTATAATATATCATGTCCCAATATATTTCTTTTACCATCCAATGTGTTTACTTGTCAGTTTATAGGGAAGTGAGGGAACCCATGCAATCTATGTTTCTTTGGGTCTGGCTTACTTCTCTTTCAAGTCTTTCCATTTCCTTACGAACGGTACAATATCATTATTTCTGATGGATGAGTAGAATTCCCTTCAACATCTCTGTCCATAAAAGAAATGGAAATCGATACAATATTGAGATTCAACCTCATCCCTGTGAGAATAACAAATGCTGTCTGGATGTGGCCAAAAGGGAGCTCTACTACACTGTTGGTGGGAATGTAAACTTGTTCAATTGCTGTGGAAACCAGTATAGATTTTCCTCAAAAGACTAACTATAGAGCTTCTTTACAACTCAGCAATCCCACTCCTGGGCAGTAACCAATAAAGTTCTACAAGGCCACACTAATGCTACCAGCACAACTATTTCATTTCAGCATTGTATACCTTAGCCAAGATAGACAAATGTCCCTCAGTGGATGTATGAGTAAAAATATGTCATAGATGGAATTCAATCAACTTTTTTTTGGGGGGTGGGCGTTTTGGGACTTCAACTCTGGGTGTTGTCCATGAGCTCTTCAGCTCAAGAGGAGGGCTCTACCACTTGAGCCACAGCACCACTTCTAGCTTTCTGGTGGTTTATTGGAGATAAGATTTTCATGGACTTTCCTGCCTGGGCTGGCTTTGAACCACGATCCTCAGATCTCAGCCTCCTGAGTAGCTAGCATTACAGGCATGAGCCACTGGTGCCTGGCTCATTTTTTTAATCACCACTACTCTAGCTTTGATTCAAATCACCTTGTACCCTTTCTATGGCAACATCAAATTGTCAGCCTTCATCTCCACACTTACAGCAGCATTTGTCAACATTAATTCCTTCTTACTTCCTGACAATTTGCTCCACAGTTTCATTTCTATCATCTCTCTTTGTACTTCATTACCTGTTCCTTCACAGTCTCTTGCACTTAGTCTTCCTGCAGCTTTACAATGTGTAAGAAGGGACCTCTTTCTTCAACTTGTCCTCTTCAGTATCTATACTTATTCATTGGGTAACAATGCTCGACAAGAAATGTTCTCATTGCCTTACTCATGTAACTGTAATCTCTCCTTACAGCACCTTTACAATATATAAAAACACATAAGTACGTAATTCCCTTTCAGAATTCATCTTTGAAACTTAACTCCCATATACAAAAGTTCTTTCTGGCTTTCCAGATGAATGTCTAAAGTACACATCTGTCCTTGGGGGACTGCTCACCAACAACTCAATTATTACAGAATTTGTGTGAACATTTTTCTTCTTCTTACAGTGATGATTGTAACTATCATCTAATGGATCAATATCTTTCCAAATTTATCTCCCGTTATCATCAATTCTCAACACAACAATTTCAGTTCTTTTAAGACTTCAGCTAAATGTCCTCCTCAATGTTGACCACAACAATCATGTTTTCAATTCAGGGCTTCTGCCCTCATTCTGTGCTCTGCTGGGAAACTTGCCACATTTGCTGGGCTTGGTTCTGATATCAAGTTTTCATCCAGCCATGCATCAGAAATGCCTATTTCTTTCAGCTTCCTTTTCAATAGCATTTATTACACACTTAAATGTTACTTCTATAGTTATATAAATGTTATTTATATAATGCCAATGTTCTCATTTTAATTAAAATTCCATAAGGGAAGGGATTTAATAATTATAATCTGTCTACATTAGATCCTAGATCAGTGCCTGACTAACATCAGGGTAAATAAATAATAAAATAAATGAAACCTAACTTTAAAAAACAATTAACAATGCTCGTCAAGAAATGCACTCATTACCTTACTGATATAACTGTAACCCCTATGTACAGCATCTTTACAAGAAAATAAAATTTTTAAATATATACTTAAAAAACAATTAAAAATGTCTAAAACATTATGCTTAAGAGTCATGGGTCATATCTTGAAATGATGGGAAAATTGTACAGGCTGATTAGTGGTATCAGTTCATGGATGCAGAAGCATTTTAGTGCTACCTATTTCTTGACGCTTATTTGAATTTCTAAGTTTCTCCATCTGCTTGTTACATTGCACTATAATTTATTTGATTTGGAAAAACATTTTAAAGCAGCTAAATATAAATCTATTTTTTCTAATACTTCAGAAATCTTTAACCAAAAAAAATTCCTAATCAATGTATTTAGCTTACCATGTGATTTTGTGGTTCAAAAACATGGAACATTTTGTATATTATGGATGAAAATAGATGGTGTTATAAGAATCTCAAGATTCAAATTCTTTGAAAACTGATATGCTTCCTTACAAGCATAATTTCTGGAAAATATAAGCACCTTTTTCTAAGTTTACATATTACCATTTTATCCAGTATGAAGACTAGAATAAATTAAACACTATAAAGAATAGAATAAATTATAAAGTGTCATTTGAAATCAGAAACTCTGAGGTGAATCACAGCTGTATTATATATACTATACAATCTGAGCTTCTTCTCATGCAGAATGCAATTAACATTATCTATTTCTTAGAGTTTGGTATAGTTTAATAGAAAATTTATAAAGTCTTTAAGTTGTCTGTCAGTATATGTGCTCAATAAATAAAAATTACAATGAATAATGTAAAATAATTTGGTTTCCCATCTGAGTGCTAATTTATATTGACTTAGAATTTGTTATGATTCCAAATAAATGTGCATGAAACCATTTTCACTATGTACAACAAGTATATGTTTAAACAAGTAAGTCTCAACATTTATATTACAAAATGTATAGCATGTGTTTGGAGTTGAATAAAAATCCGCATATGGTGTTAATGAATATAGAAGTATTTGGCCCCAGAATTCTTCAGTGTAGATATATAAAACGTAGAATCAATGTTTTGTTACAAAGTACGATGTGAAAAGTGTACTTCAGCACGATTCTTCTGGAATCCATTATTGCTTAGAATTTAGTTCCAAAATGTTAGGATAGAAAATTAAATAAAATTTAATTTATCAGTCATGTTAAAACTGGGTTAATTATACCTGATTATGCATACATAAGAAAATAATTAAGACTTTTAAGTATATTCTTGTAAAAAGTCTTGAAATCTTTATTAAATTAATTTTATTCCTGGCCATTCATATGTGGCAAGAGTCATCAATTAGTAGAGATGGAAATGGATAAGTGGCCTTTCATCACTTCCA